AAGTGGTGCTACAAACACAAGCCCATTGTTAAGAAAGCACCCAGTCCCTGTTCATTTCTAAAATCTCAGTATCTCTTCCTGTTTCCTTATAATTAGCCTGCAGTTTTTCTCGTTTCTCGGGCGAGGAGCGTAAGGCACGCTTGTGTCTGGTGCTCCTCGCTCGCTTCACGCTTGCCCTCCCTTGCTATCTTGTACGCATACATGTAACCACTTCTCGGCCGCTTAGCTCAGATTGCTAATAAGACGTACACTAACAGGCTTTTTAAAATACTGGCAAAATAATGCTGGCCGAGTATAATGATCACGACTTAGTTTAGATGACAGCATTATTTTGCGGTGTCATTAAGCCGTTTTCCTCGTCTCATTGATTCTCACCCTCTCTCATTTATTTTAAAATTCGAAGGTGAGGCCAAACAATCTACATTGCTGTTGGAACAGTGCAGGAGGCGGGAAGGGGGGGGGGGGGACGTGTCTTCGTTGGTGGGATTCGCCACTGCCTCATTTACCACTCTTCACACATCACACCGTACCCGGGGGGGTACTCCCTATGATGGCCTATACGGCGAGGCTCCGCCCGAAAGGGGTATCTTTTTTTCACCCTTCAGGTATATGAAAAGGTAGGGATTTCACTAGTTTAATAAAGTGTATATACCTGGATTTGGGATAACCGCCAGGTCAGCAAAAAATTTTATAATTTCTTTCAACTTCCCCTGTTTTAGCTTGTTTACTGAGTTGTTTGCTTGTGTCGTTCTTTTGTTGCTGGTTTTCAGTGTCACGCCATTCAAAATAGATCAAAATAAAAATCAAAACCATTCGACAGATTAAGTCCAGAATCCGGGAAATTAGAGAAGGTAAATATACAAAGACTCTCGCCAAGATTTGGGTCGAAGGAATAATTGGTATACGATATATAAGAGGAAATGTTTTACCCAAATTTATAGAGCTTTGTATGGAGACGCCTTGCTGGAGCTCATCCGGATGAGTTGCAACATGGCGAACGGAAACCAACAGAAACATCTGTTACCGAGTTTTGCTACAAAAGCGTGAATTTACTCCTAGAGGAACTCATAAACATCAAAGTAATACTTTTTCTAATACTTGAACTGTTTAGATAGCAAGATTCCTCGAAAAAAGTCACTTTTTTAACCTAAATGACAGCTCTGTCGGCCGTCATGTAAATGCTGTGTCATGCAAAAGCTTAGAAATTCAAGCGTACTCCACAACCGTGACCAATAACCCTTTTGAAGCGAAAATTTGTTTTCAGCTGCTCTAATACACCATGAAATTAAAATCTCAGTTGGATGGATAGTTTTGTAAGTTTAAATTTTAGTGACGTCATGTGAAAACCAACAATTGTTGTTGTTTTGTGGTTAGGGATTTGTGTAGAAGTGGCCGTAGACAGTATTTCGCGAATGTTTGGGTAGATAGAAATTCGCGAAATTCTCAGGTCTACAGCCACTTTACACAAATTCGTAACCACAAAACAAGAGAAAAAACGACTAAGAAAACAACAAACAACAACACGGTAGCGGACTGCCTTCGTGTGGCAACTGCCTCAGTCCAAAAGTGCCTCCCTCAAACCGGTTGTTGGCCATTGATTCAATCTCTTGTGGAACCACTGCGCTGGATACTGATCAAAGTTTGAGAAAGATTATCCCCCGGCTGTCTTAAGACTTTTCAGATCCATTCTGCTACTCATCAATCTAAGCTGATAAATGCATTTCAGCCCCGAAGTGTTTTTTTTTTTTTTTTTTTTGCGCATCAACACTACGTTGTTAACTACGCAGTGGTTAATCCAGGGGAGGGAGCCGGGAGGCCCGGGCTTCCCCCTTGTTTTTAGATTAAACTTAAGCCTGAAGGACCGTTGAAAAGTTTTTTGAGACCGGTACTCCTCCACCTTATCTCAGGGTCTGGTTGACCGGGGCCCCGTTTACCTGAAGGTCTTTATTCGCCACTGTTACGGGTAAAGAGAAAATAAAAAATGTATAAGGTTTGATAAGAAAAACAAACTCAACGTCGGTTGTCATACTTGAACAGAATGGCGATGCGATCGTTGCGTTAATCAATAGCGATCGTCCCAACTTCGATTTCGTCTGAAATACCCTCCCTTACAAAGTTTCAATACTCTTATAAGCGCGTTCGTCCACTTTAAATGTAATTGACTTACATGCCATTTTAGAACAAAGAGAGTTTCATTTACTTAATAGTGGGTATAAAGCGGTGGCACCAGAGAAACATTCAACGATTTTTATCTTTATTTCCCTATTCTTTTTTCTTCATCTATTTTTCTNTAGATTAAACTTAAGCCTGAAGGACCGTTGAAAAGTTTTTTGAGACCGGTACTCCTCCACCTTATCTCAGGGTCTGGTTGACCGGGGCCCCGTTTACCTGAAGGTCTTTATTCGCCACTGTTACGGGTAAAGAGAAAATAAAAAATGTATAAGGTTTGATAAGAAAAACAAACTCAACGTCGGTTGTCATACTTGAACAGAATGGCGATGCGATCGTTGCGTTAATCAATAGCGATCGTCCCAACTTCGATTTCGTCTGAAATACCCTCCCTTACAAAGTTTCAATACTCTTATAAGCGCGTTCGTCCACTTTAAATGTAATTGACTTACATGCCATTTTAGAACAAAGAGAGTTTCATTTACTTAATAGTGGGTATAAAGCGGTGGCACCAGAGAAACATTCAACGATTTTTATCTTTATTTCCCTATTCTTTTTTCTTCATCTATTTTTCTATATATTCATGATTAGGGAGTGAGTTTGGCTCTTTATTTTAATCTACAAAAATTTAAAATAATCTACTGTGAATTCTAACGTTTGGTTAGGCTGGTCTAACACCAACTATGAGCTACGAGCAGCAATGGAGAAACACAGGCAACGATTGTAATCTTGGTTTTCCCTTTGTATCTTCTTTTTTAATTCTAATGTATAATGGTCACTTTAATTCAATCTATAAAAAGTCTGTCGTTTATCCAGAAAAAAACGAAAACTGAGGATCTAGCCATCTAGCGTTAATTTAAGCTAGTTTTCGTTTGGCACCAAAAGTAAATTAACCCAGTCATAAGTTTCTTTTTACTACATACTACTAATATATCCCATGGTCTTAATATGTTTACTGCCATTATATATCTGGAGACCATATAGCCTTGTTTCCACATGAGGTGCTATGATCAGGTTCTCCTCGAGTACCAATTAAACCCAATTCTAGAGTCATAGGACTTGCAATTGTTTTCGTTGTTACTAATGATACCGACCCTGGCTTTGGATTTGAGCGTACTAATAACCTGCAATTTGTGTAACTCCAAAGCGATGGAAATAAATGGGTTTTCGAGTGTTTTAGCCTTTTACACGTATACTGCTGCAAATGAATCCACTGTTCTAGGCCCTAAAGATCTTTTGTTAAAATGTTTCCAGTTCAATACCCTAGTTTTCCCTGTTCGCAATTATTAAAACAGCAAGCTTAAGTTCGCAAATCGACAATCTATCAACGTCGTCCCCAGGGCGCTTTTCCCAAAGCCAGGGAAAAGCGCCTTGGGGACAAGGTTGACAATCTATGCAATAGTAAACATGTACTCAAGTTAATACTATATTTACCACTACTTATAATCTAGTACTGGCTTCAACGTTAGTGTACAAACTACAGCTCATAGAGATGCACTGTCAGATTGCCTGCCGAATAAACACACAGAATGTGATCCTGATACAAGAAAAACTTCAACAAACAAAATTTTCTTCCTTGTTGTTTTCAGGACTAATTTCACTGCACCAAGATGTACCCCATGGCCTTGATGTGCTTGTTACCATTATCAGCCCCGTTCCATGCTTCGTTTCCACATGTGTTGTTGTAATCATGCCGCCCTCCAGTACCAAATCCAATTCTGGAGTCACAGGTACTGCAGCCGGGTCTATCGTCACCAAGGATACCGATTCTTACTTTACCATAAGACGGCATGTCGCTTTCGACGTTAAATCCTTCCTTGTTACAGTTGGACTGCAAGGAGGCCTCAGAACCAATCAATGACTTCCACGTGCCACGGCCAAGTGAGGTGCTGCGGTATTGCCCATCAGCGATCAGAGAGTACAAGGAGTTCGACTGCCTGTTGATTACAATAAACTTGGTCTGATCGTTGATCTTCATGCCGAGGCAGATCTTAGAGAAGGATGTGTTCCAGTAGGAGGGTAGTTTAGTCTCCTGTGAGTCAAACCACTCTTTCCTCCGTCTAGGTTAAAGGTTTCTTTGTTGCTCCAAAAAGCCCTTTTGTAGCGAAACGTTAACTATGGTATTAAGAAGAAAGAAAAAGGAAAAATGTCCTTTAAAAAGAAAAGTTCCAAGGTTTCTTTTTTCTTCTAAAGACGACATCCTTCCAGGCGAAGAAAAAAAAACGAATTCGCAATGGAAGATCAATTACATACAATGAAAAGAATGGACAATGGGCTCGTTTCCCCAGCTTAAATTATCTTTAACCCTTGCGTATTCGCAAGTACAGCGGAGACTAGGCCCCCTTGTTTTGATGAAAACCTTCACATCGTTTGAAAAGGATGGGCGGATGACTCCTGCTACTGACCGAGATATTCCAGAAACTTAAAGGTGTTCTTAAGGTGTTTCGATACATTTTTTCAGAGGCTATACCGATATATTTCAATCTCCTTAAAAGTGTTTTTTTCCTTGCCCGATCGCTGTAAAATTCTCACCAGTAATTGCATATGGATTGAATTAGTGAAAATGTAGTATAGTTTTAAGTAAAATCGATGTTACTATGACAACAATGAACAAAAAACTTTGAAATTGATAAACGCCTAATTTTGTGTGATCTAGACCAGCTACTGAAAGAACTACTGTAAGAAGTAAAAAATTCTGTATGTCTGAATTCGACTAAAACGAAAATATATTTCAAACCTTAAATTTTCAATAGCCGTAAAAGATTATTTAATTAATAAAAACGTTATAAATGACTCAAATTATTCTTAAGTA